GGGTCCTCATTTCACCCACCTCGGAAGGATGGAAGGCTGAGTCAACCTTGAGCCGGTGAGATTAGAACCGCTGAACTGCAGGTCACAGTCAGCTAAAGTGGCCTGCAGTACTGCACCCTAACCACTGCGCCACCTTGGCTCTTTGGGAGAATCTATCTCCCAACATCTGTAAAGTTGTCAAAAGCAACCCCAGTAAAACTCTGATCAGCCATACATATGAAAAGGACAATTGTATTAGTGTTTGAAAGTGTAAAGGATCATGACTTAGCATGTGTTAAACGGATTCCTATTCATTTGGCTTATTTATATTAAAATTGTAAGACAGAGCATTCTGACAGAGATACTGTATATTTTGCTTGTGGTTTTGCAGTAATGAAGATCGTGATAACTTCCATGCTAAGAAGGAAATACACATTATTCCCATTTTATTTTTATTTAGTAGTATTTGAAATGGAAACTCAAAAATAAGAAGTGTGAATCCTGTATGCTTTTGGTTTACTGGAAGATTAGCAGTAACTTTTTGAAGTAGTCCTAAGCCAGAACTATCATTCAAGAATGGTCTAATTATACAATGTTTATATTTCTTAAATAACATTTTAATGTCAACTGATTTAGTCTCAACTTGGCCTACCCAACTGATTATAGCTTCAGAACTTAAACATTACCGATTAGCATAACTATATTGAATGAATTGGTGATGAGTAGGATTATCTTATATTTTCACTTTGAAAAGAGATTGCTGTGGTTTGAAACAGTAAAATAAATGAGTTGCTTTTCCCGGAGTCCTACGGGATTGGGTGGCATATAAATGTTATTAAACTTACAAACTGCTTTGATATTTTTGTGTATTTCTTAATCTCTTTGTTGGTCGGTATAGATTTCTTTAGATAACTATCATTTGGAGTTTTTGGGGGGGTGAGAGGAACAGCTGTACCAGAAACATGCTCAACTTAAATAATTTCAGAGGTTTTGTGAAATATATGTCTTGCATTATTATTAGATCCTTTAGCTATAGTGTTGGTATTCCCCTATTGTCATTTATATGATCATTTATTCTGAGTTAATTTCATTGTACCAAGATCTACTGATTCCAAATGAATTAGAATGTTAGAAGAGTTAGCATTTGAACAGTTATCTGTAAAACAATTCATTGTTTAAAAAGTGCCAGACTTGCATTATCGTTGCAGAAAGACTAAGCAAATGCTAAATATGTTTTACAAATCTGACCTGTTACATGCTTACTCGGAAAAAAGGTCTTGCTAGAGATCAATGGAATTTATTTCCACGTATGTACAAAATGTAAAAGGGCCATTGAAATGAAGAAGAATTAAAATAAGCCCAGAACGTAACACTTTTCTAAATCCTGTGGATAGGCTACTGTTTTGAGTAAGCATAGTCTTTTCACATATTTCTATTCACTTATTTAATTAATTTGTACACACTATAACTTCCAGTGATTTTAATTTTTACTAAATGGGGGGGGGGGGAATCCCAACACACAGACCTGCCGTCAGAAGTGTGAGGAACACAGACCAGAAAATGAGGCCATTCCAGAATGCAAAACTGCTGTTTGAAAAATTGCGACAATATTTATATCAGCCTATTCTATTACATTTTTTATCACCTTCCATCTTCCAAGATAATTTATTTTATTTTACTTCATGGTAATCCTGCAGGCTAGGTTAGGCCAAGAGGCATTGATTCCCTTTAGTAAGCTTCGTAGCTGAGGGGGAAAAAAATCTCAGTATTTTGCAGGTTTGAAGTTTTATACCGAGCCACGGAGTCAAATACTTTCAAAAGGTAATTTAGGATTATGATTATTATGTAGTCCCAGTAAACTATAACAAACCCATCTGTTTCAAAGAGAAGACATCTGGATCAAATTTTCTTCCGTGTGCCGAAGCCTTGAGCCATGTGCATTATAATTCAGACAACACATTGGACCCTCTGTGCATGTTCTGATTCAGATGTAACCCTTGAAAGTACATTGTATATATTTTTAAAAGCGTCACGATCTTGATGCCCGTGCCATCTGATGAAATGCAAAGAATGTCTTCTCACAGACCATTGAGTTGGCAAACCACAGCTTCTGTTTACTAGGACAATGCCAGGGGCATGACATTATCTGATAGCTGTGGTGCGGCTACAATCTTTCAGCGAAGGATTTCTGCTATTTAAAAGCAAACAAACAGAGAGAAGCGATAGGGGCTGGTTCAGAGACATCTGACATATCCATCGAGAAATATTTGCAAGGCCATTATTTGCGTAGGCTGTTATATGAGACGTGCAGTCCTTTGGCAAGGAAAACCCGTTTCTTTTATCACTGAAATTTACTCTCAGGTTACTGTATCAGAAAACAGGTTTCAAACACTGCTATCGCTTTGTCTGTCGAGAAATTGTATCAACCTGAGCTTTTGCACCATTTAATCTCCCGGTATTTTTTCCGGCTGATTGCAGAAAATATACCTTGCAGTAAGAAATATACTGTTGCACATATAGCAATAAAGGGAAAACATGAACATAAACATTATGTTAGGAAAGGGCTGTGACCTTTCCACATAGAGATGGGATCAGCGATAGCAGGAGATTTATCACGCCTTTAAAGAGCCATATATTTCATGTATTCACATGTAATAGAAGACCAGCACTTCGAAACTAGAAGCAATAAATGCCACCAAGCCAAGCCTAATATATTGAAACCCATTGATCCCAAGGACCAGGTGCTTGAATGTCTGCCATTTGAAATTCATGAAATCTAAATGTTTAGCTTTGATGCAGCCATGACAATTAATCACTTGCGTATTTGCCAGGGATAACTCCCCCCCCCCTTTGAATCAATTTTTAATATAAATGGAGAGGTCTAGATTAGCCACAGGTTTATACATTTTCATTAAGCCATTAGCATGTAAGGGACTAAAAAATGATTAGAGGTAAGCTTGCCAGGTCCGTTTTGAACGTTTTTTGAGAGTTGCTGGTAAGCATCTGCCTTCTCCAAGTTCTTTCCCATTTTCTTAGGTACTGATTGTGCTATCTGCAGGTTCATTAAAAATAATAATCAAGAATAGGAGAGGAACAAGAACCTAAGTGAAATGTTTCAATCTGTTGGCAGTTATTGCTTCTTATTCACACTTTCATTCTATCAGCCATTGATTTAAGCCTGGAGGACGTCAACTCCCAGAATTCCCCAGCCAGCTAGGGAATTCTGGGAGTTGATGTCCTCCAGTCTTATTAGTTGCCAAGGTTGGAGATCCCTGATTAAAGCATACTTCTTTTCAAAATACATATTTCTAGTAATCTTTTCTACCACGATAGTTTATAATACAGTTAGATTGTCCTTTTAAGAGAAATGAGCTATATTAGTTGAGATGATGATGATGATTGTTGTTGTTGTTG